GGTGAAGCCACCGGAGCACGAGGTGAACTACACTCGAGGCACTTGGGAGAAACCGTGGCCGAACACTCCGGTACCTCACGTGCATGTGCCAAAGCACGTGGACATGCTTCCAGAGATGCCACCGGCGCTCACCCAGCCGATCTCTGAAGCACAAATGCGGTCCTTGACCAGGGCAAAGATCATGTGGCCCGATCAGGACTCTTGGATCTATGACGCCGATATCGAGGAGTTATGGAGAGTTCACCAATGTCCGAGAGAAAAGCTGTTTGTCCCTCAGGAGCCAACTTGGCCGTCGTCAATCAAGCGAGATTGGTTTGTCGGCCCTCGGGTGACCTGGATGTACTTCGAGGATGAACATGAGGTGGTGGTGGTCGACAATTTCCGCTGGCAGGGCTGCAACCCTTCGTTGAGGATGACGGACGGTCGGCTTTGGCGAGATTCTGGGTGCGAGTTCCGTCGCCGATCTCAGATCTCAATGCTTGGATAGATGCCCGGGTGATGGTCGAAGAACTCTGGCGGGCGGCTCAACAGATGATGAGCCTCTACTTCCGGGAGAAGGACGAGTACAAGGTGGACTGGAATGAGGTCTTTGTCCTCCAAGCTGATGTGGCGGACATGGTCGGTAATTTCCCGGCGGTGAAACGTTTGGTGACACCAAAGCCGATGAAACCGCATCAATGCTACATTGAGACTCAATCGGACATCCAGGACCTTCCCACTGGCAAGGTGCGTTTGGAACTGAAGTGGAGCAGCCTATCTCAGGCTTGGAAACAAGCTTTTGAGGAGCCCATTAAAGATGCTCTGGACGTCTACTTCAAGTACGACGCAGTGGCTCCCGTCTTTGATGATGAGGACATCCGCACGGATAACATCCTCCCGTCGAGATTCGTGCTGGTGAACAAGTCAGATCCCCGCAACGTGAGCCCACTTGATGAACAGCTCGAAGATGCCCGTCTCAAGGCACGTTGGGTGGTCTCAGGTCATCGAGACAAGGAAGCAGGACTGTGGGAAACCGAGGCTCCGACGGCATCGTTGATGGCGCACAACCTGCTCTGTTTCTTTGCAGCGCAGTTCAAGTGGACGATGTTCTTTGGTGACATCACCGCTGCCTTTTTGCAGGGCGAGAGCCTACACCCGGATCGCAAGGTGCTGGTAGCCATTCCTCGAGGATATCCGGATTTTGTCCAGCAGTTCCTTGGCTCGAAACTTCCAACAGGGGCACGACCCGACTTGGTTCGCTTCACCAAAGGGGGCTTTGGGTTGGCGGAGTCTCCACGACTGTGGTTTAAAAAGCTGCAGAAGACGCTCACCCGGCTTGGAGCCAAGGAATGGTTGCTGATTCCTGGAGTTTTCTCTGTGTTCGTGCAAGGTGAGATTGTGGCGATGATCGCATGCCATGTCGACGACATCCGGTTGATTGGCCACCCAGAGAAAGCACGACCGGTGTGGGAGGCCATCAAGAAAGAGTTCACCTTTGGAGAATGGCGGAATGTGGCAGAAGACTGGTCCAAGTATTTTGTGGGCGCTATGAGAGACAGCTCCCGGACGGCGCGATCGAGGTGCAGATGGACGAATACTGTGAGAAGCTCCAGTTCCCTCCAAAGCGAGCAAGAGGCAATCCGGTGGAGAAAGATGGCACTGAGCTCACAGTGACAGAACGCAAATGGGTCGGTCATGTTTGCGGGCAACTTTCCTGGCTGGCAAGACAATGTAGAGGAGACCTGCTTTTTGGCGTTTCTCGAGTACAACAGCTGGCAGGTGTTGGGGATCCGGCGGCATTGGACAAGCTCTATATCCTTGTGGAGCGAGCCAAGGAGGTGAAGACGATGAGGTTCAAGCCGCTGGGATGTGAACCGGGGCAATGGCTGGTGGTGGCAGCGTCTGATGCCAGTTTTGGTGGAATGCCCCGTGGAAGAAGCCAGGGTGGAGCAGTATGCCTGATTGCAAACCCCGAGCTCTTGGAGGGCAAGGCCATGGCTGTGCCAGTGACTTTCCAGTCAGCTTTGTTGAAAAGGGTGGTACGATCGAGTTTAGCTGCAGAGATCAGCCAGGCGGCAGAGGCTCTGGATCAAGCCGATTTCTTGAGAGCAGTGATGGCTGAAGCGCTTTATGTCGGCTTCGACATTGACCAGTGGCTCCTGCATGTGGCGCATTGGCGCCTCATCACCGTTCTCGATAGCCGGACAGGCTATGACCTCCTGAATGGTTCAGGCCATGGAGAAGACCGTCGGCTTGCGATTGACATCGCGGCCATGAAGCAGGCCTTGTTCGAGGACGGTGGCAACCGCTTGGTGAGATGGGTCCCTGGCAACGATCATGTAGCAGATGATCTGACGAAGCTGATAGGAAATGGTAGGCTCATGAAGGCCGTCTCGGACAATGAATGGTCCTTGCGGGACACGGCCGAGGCAAAAGCCCTCAGAGAAGACGCCGCTCAACGAAAGCGGAAGTACCGACAGCGAATAGCTGAGCGGCGTCAGGAGGCCGAACACTTGCGCCAAAGGGGGTAAGTGTCGGACGTAGCCTGGTTCAGGCTCTAGCGAAGGTGGAAAATAGGTGTGTGGCGTCGTCCACTTTTAGTGTTATTAGTATCTTCTTGTTACTACTAGTAAGGCACTTGCTACTAGTAGCTTCTTGTTACTACTAGTAAACCCTAGTGGTTTACTTTCGGTAAGGATATTTCTAGATGGATCCCTAGTAGCGAACATTGCTCCTAGTACGGCCAGGAGCCCGCTAGTAGCGTCCTTGCTCCTAGTAGCGATGCCAGGAGCCCCTGGTAGCTTCTTGTTACTACTAGCAAGTAGGATAGAATATGGTAATTAGAATCTGGATGGCATGCTGAAAGTAATGGAACTCGCCATCACGAAAGCATGGTGACAGGGACCCTCGGCTGCTGTTGCCATAGGGTGCATCACTTTGGTATAAGGTATAAGACATGGATCGCAGTTCCAAACTTAACCATTTGTTTTTCCATGGTTTTCCTTGACTGTTAAAGCTGTGCATGCAGCAACGCAGTATGGCCAACATTTCAAAATGCAGGAGCCCTTGCCACCACATCAGAGGGCATGTAGTATGCATATATCCACGTGTGTGTGTGTC